AAATTTGCTAAAATTGGATAAAGAAAATAAGTGCAAAAAAAAAGTTTTTGGTTTGCTTTAAAAATAAGTTGAAAAGTCTTTTTAATAACTCTTTACAGAAAAATATTTTTCAAATAAAAAGTTTATTTTTCTAGCTTTTAATAATCGAATTATTAATAAGTATTCTACTATTATATATGTTAAATGTTAAACAAGTTTTACTAAAAAGTAAGCATCCAACGTTCCGTTTTTTCTTCTTTACGAATAAAGCAAATATAGTACAAACTTCTACATTAATCTTTAAAGTAAATCGAATTTTCTAAAGCTTAATAAATAGAACATTTTATGCGTTTAAAATCTAATCGCATAAAAAATTATATTTTTATCAAAGTTGTGTTTTTTTTTTATTAATAAATAAAGTACAAACTTTTATGTCAAAACGAGTTTTATTATCTGAGCTTTAAATAATAAAATTCGTTCAGATGTAAAAGTTTGTACTTTATTTTTAATTAAAGGAAAATCAAGTTTTTTTAAATGTATTTCCTCACTATATACTTTACATACATTTAACTTTAATACATTTATAAATACAAGTAAATACAAGTATAAATACAAGTATATGTATTTATTTATAAATAAGATAAGAATTTTTAAAGCTGACAGATAATACTATGAAACTTAAAATTTATCTATAAATTAGAATAGTAGAAAAAATATTTTATTAACTTATTGCTCGTTACGTTTAGGGTGGAGATAAATAGAAAGGTTTTTTGTTCCCAGCCTCCAATCATCGCATTTTTTTGTAAAGCATCATTATTTGACTTAAGCGAAAACATATGAATGTTTGGAGTTTGCTCCATGTCTGGAAGTTATCTCAAACAATAACAAATGCTGAATTTGTTATTGCCTTTCATTCTCTGTAGGGGAGGTTGAGGGAATGGTAGCTTCTAAAAGGTTTTTACTATTTTTAGGGTTGTATTATAATAGTCCTAGCTGTAACTGTGGTAGAAAAAATAATACAATGTATATTATAAAGTACTTAATTGGCAAATACGTACAAAAAATAATTAACTTGTTATTACAAGAAAAAATTTAGACAAAATAGCCAATTTTACCCCATAAGTTTGAGGCACTTGCTGCAGCCTGGTCACTTTTGTCGAATACGAGTAATAAAAACAAGAATAATAATTATCAAAATAAAGTTTTATAAGAGTTTAAGAGAATAAGTTTATGAGTTCAAGAATTAATAAAATAAGTAGTACAATTTTACTATTAAATACAATAGTCACAAATATAAGTATCTTTTTTCTGGAGGAGATCTGTACAGTCTTTGTGTGTCTAACAATAGTTATTTTTCTTTCTAATACGTAAATGACAGTTAACAACATAAGACAACAAGCGCCGCTTATGTAGGAAGAACCAAGAACTAGGACCAACTATTAGTTCTTCTAGTAGAAAATAGGTATCAGTACAGATACAAAATCTCACTTAAATTACACAAATATAGAAACATCATATGTCCAGAATTGCTCCAGAGAAATATATTGTTTACAAATAATTAGCAGATGAATTTGAAAGGGTTAGCGCGGGGTGGTGTTGGGAAACACTGGAAGCAAAATAAACCTCTAGCTACTGAAAGCAAAATAACCCCCGACACCAATAAAAAATTATAAAAATTGAATTTTTTTTTCTTTATTGTAAAATGTGAATACTTGCACACTTGTCAATATGGGTATAGTTGAATTTTATTTAAAAATAATAATATAGTGTAATAAGCAGTTTCAGAGGCGTAGACAGACGTTTTTGTTGTTCGAGATAGGTAACTTCCAGACATGGAGCAAACTCCAATCATTTATGTTTCTATACTTACGTCAAATAATGAGGCTTTGCAAAAAATTGCGATGATTGAAGGCTGGGAATAAAAAGCTCCAAAATTTTCGCCCCTCTGCCCCAAACGTGAGAGCAACAAGTTGATAAAATATTTGTTGTACTATTCTTAACTAGGCATATATTCATAGATAAATTTGAAATTTCATAAAACAATTTTTCAGCTTTCATAATTTATGACTGTTTAAATTTTGTAACCCCCTCAAATTAACAAATTTAAACTAAAATATTTAAAAAAAATAAATAAAAAATAAAAAATTGAGGGGGGCTCAAACTATGTAAGCTCATAACTATTAAACGCTGAGAGATTTTAATACGAAACTTAAAATTTATAAATGAATATAAGTCTAGTTAAAAATAGTATAAAAAATATTAAAGCGACTTGTTGCTCTCACGTGATAGGCAGGGGGCAAGAATTTTGGGGCTTTATTGTTTCCAGCCTCCGATCACTGCAACTAATTTGCAAAGCCTCATTATTTGACGTAAGTATAAAAATATAAATAATTGGAGTTTGCTCCATGTCTGGAAGTTACCTATCTCGAACAACAAAAACGTCTGTCTACGCCTCTGAAACTGCTTATTACACTATATTATTATTTTTAAATAAAATTCAACTATACCCATATTGACAAGTGTGCAAGTGTGCAAGTGTTCACATTTTACAATAAAGAAAAAAAAATTTAATTCTTTTTAATTTTTTATTGTTGTCGATGGTTATTTTGCTTTCAGTAGCTAGAGGTTTATTTTGCTTTCAGTGTTACCCACCACCACCCCATCTCGAACAATAAAATTTCGGTCTACGCATATTTTTTCTTTTTCATATGAACAATTATATTTTAATTTAAGTACTTTTTTTATTAAATACGACGTACGTTTTCAGCTCATAGAGACAGTTATTAGGTTTACTATCAAGGAGTTTATTTTTCTAATTTCTTTTCGTATACTGTGAATCTAAATACTAGAATATTCCATTACGTAAAAGGTAAATACTATAATGTTCCATGACGTCAAGTGGTTTATAGTAATTGGTTTTTAATCAATAGTTATTGGAACTGTCAATGTGTTTATACAATTTATAATAATAATTTTTGAGGATCGTAATTTAGTAGATACAGGGTCAAACGGTTTTACTATATAAATAATTATTAGAATTTGTAGCGAGATAGGCTTGTATGCTGTAAACCTATTAAGGTTTTAATTTGTTATTAATTATCAATAGAAATTGCAACGAGATCTCATAAAGTACTTAAATATAAAGCACGGTTAATAGTTGCAGAGGGTCATAAAACAAAATGCAACTCCTATGTTACAAAAGAAACTTTCGCTAGTCATTTTCTTCCGATGTATTCAAGATCAATGACTGAGGTGAAGATTAAAAGTGATTTTAAAGAAATGTGGATTACAGTCATTTAATACTGATGCTATTGATTACACATAGTTAACCTTACAAAAGGAACATGCTGGAGATGAGCGCTTTTTTGAGGGTGTCAATCAAGGTGGTTTTGTTGAAATTTAAACCCAAGTAGAACTAATATTATATTTGAATGTAAGTACTAAGACTAAGCCGAGTGAAAATCTTCTTCAAATAGGTTTCACGGAAGCACAGGCAGCTGGGTCATGCATAAACCTGTAAGTGATAAATATTTTTTGTAAACACATATAGGATTGGGACAAATTATATACTTAGTTAAATTTAGAAAAACTTGCTATAATTATATGTTCTTTAATTAATTGGTTTAACATTTTGTAACATCTAAAACCTCCGTTAACACTATTTTTAAAAATATTTATACAATTATATTAAGTCTAAATTTTTGTTAAGAACCAAAGTTTAATATATATGTATATTAAACTTTGGTTCTTTAACAATAATTTAGACTTGAAAATAAACTTTATCAAAAAGAAAAAGACTCACAAAATTAAAAATTCCCAGATGGCGAACACATGTTTCTTGCTTGTGGTCGCCATTTGGTTCTTTCGGAGGCTATTGCTCCCGTGTTTATTATCAGAGGTCATTTATTTTATGAGCATCGTGGCGAACATTGGGTGTTTTAGCCTGGTTAGTAACACAAAATATATTATAGAATTAAAAAAAAAAACTTTTATTTTACAGCGTAAAAGCGCATGACATAGTAATTAAACAAAAGTATAAACATTTTATAAATGCTGAATGTTTAAACTATAGAATGTAATTTTTGAGAATGTAATTTTTTTACTTTTTTCCACAACCTGACCCGCTGTGCGTCTGGATGATTAAATAACTTTTTGCTTTTACATCATTTGAGCACTGTCCGGCGTTTCGAAATACTTTTAACGTTTAATTAGTTTATTAATTATTGGTGTTTCTTAATATTGATTGCTTATTGTGCTTGTTATCGGAGTGCTGTTAAAAAATATTGGTAATGCTTTGCTTGTTAATATAAAGTTTTCAGACTTGGCGTTAAATAAAATATGTTATAATCCTTTATAAGATTTTCATTAATATATTTAAACGATATTAAGTTAAGAGTAGGATTTTATGAAGGATTTTATGAAGAAAATTGATTTTCTTCATTGAAAAGGATTTCATGAAAAAACAACAAAGCTGAACTACGGCTACTTAGAGTAGCCAAAACAAAGCAAATTTAAAATAGTAAACCGTAAACATAGAATAACCAGTTTTAGTTAAACAATTATTTTTATTAAAATTATACATAACTCACTAAAAAGATTACAGTTTATTAGTATTTTTTGTGACAAATTTTACATAACTTTTACGATTTAGTCAACCTTAATTTATTTATCATATGGTTACTATGGTTACTTTAAAACTTTTATATTGATTTAAACAAACAGAAATCACAAATTTTTAAATATTAAGTTCTTCTGTTCTTTTTTTTCGTAAGCTCATCCACTTTACTCGTTCGTTGTTAATTTTGTTTCTTAAAGCTTTTTCTCGAACCCCAGTTTGGTTACAGAAGACTTTTATTTCATTATACTCTAAAATAGAAAATACTTTAAATATATATATATATATATATATATATATATATATATATATATATATATATATATATATATATATATATATATATATGCCATACATTTTATATACTTTTAAAAAACAATGATTCTATTTTAATTACTGGGCCAATCAAGGTTTTTATCTCTGATAAATATTCCAAACATTTCTTCCAATAGTTCTTCTTGTTCTGTTGACCACTGAGTATATATTCTTTCTAAACAAAAAATGCATAAGCTAATTAAAAATCTCAGAAATTTAAAAAGCTTTAATTTTTAGTATTATGTGTTATTTTATTATTGACTAAATTTTCTATACCAAAACTGGCTAATGCAAAAAAAGAATTATTGTTCTATTTACAAATCAGTATAATTATAGATCAAACTGTGTTAACTAATAAATAATTGTATTTTTTGATAGTTTAGACGGCTGTCGGATGAGGCGTGAAGAAAGTAGAAAGAAGGGACGGTAAAACTATTTAAAATTTTTATTAAGTGAAATAAAAACAAGTTTTTATACAGCTTTGTTGAGGCAAATTAAAACATTTATCAGCTTTGGGGTCGTCCATAAATTACGCCACGCTTTAGAAAGGAACAAGAGGTTAGTGGTTTTGTGACGGCTCATACGGAACTTGCTACTAAAGAGTTACAATGTTGTGAAGAGGGGTAGAGGAGGGATAAAAAAAACGGGTAGGAATTGCGCAACGTAATTTTTAAAAAACTCCTTTGCAAAAAAGATTAAAATTACCTTCAAATTTCTGAGCAGGAGAGTTATTCAGTTCCACATTTGGATTTTGAATTTCTTTTGACAGATGACTTTTTAAAGGTTTTTCTAGAAGTAAAGACCTTTAAATTTTAGTTATAATCATTATAAGTTTTATAATCAAATAATAACAAATATAAGATTTAATAACGTTACGAAAAAAAGTATATTTCTCTGAAATTAACACTAATTCATAAATAAAAATAAAAAATTACCATGTAAAAGATCAGTAGTATTACTTTCAAGTTTGCCTCCATTTTCAGGTTTACTTTTATTAGGATCTACTATTAAAAGTTAAGATGCAGTTTATTCATTTAAAGTAAGAGAAATTCAAGATTTTAAAAATAATATAAATTCCCACCCGTTTGATTCAAACTTGAACTTTTCTGAACTTTGACAACTAGGAAATACGTAAACATTTAATTCCAGAACTCCAACATTACTTCTAACAACTGGATCGGATAAAATTTCCATAGCACGGACAGTATCTTCGGGAATTAAAACAGGGACAAGATGATTTGAATCTTTTCCACTTTGGTAAGTTATTTTCATGTTTATTTCATTTATTTCTGTTAAATCTTCAGCACGTTGTTCATCTAGCCATGCATCCTTTGCTGCTTCAAACCACTTGCGTAACAAAAGACGGGCAGGCTCGCCGCCTCGTCTACCATTAAATAGAACAAGCCTTGTACATGCAGCATTACGCAGTTCAACGTAGGCGTGAAGATCCCATAGGACAAAGTTATCCTCTTTGTACTTTTTCATGACAGAAATGGAGTAATCACATACCATTTGAATATCTGATTCAATTGGTAATTTTGATGGTTTCTTTAAACTAATGTTTCTGCGTTCATTTAAATCATATGTTGCATCCTCAAATATCTCTTCTTAACGAAGTTGCAGAAGAACTAAAAAATCAGAGATTGATTTAGCTGAATCGTCATTATCTTGAGCCAAAAAGCTTTCGACATATTTTTTTGCACTGCTAGAAATTAAATAAAATAAGGCAGCTTTTAACCCTGATTTTTGATTTTCAGAATACGTATCTGTATATACTTCAATTGCAAGCTTCAAAAAACTAAAATTTTGTCGAAGAAACATATCGGCTGCATTGCAATAAATTGGTTTTACTTCATAGTTTTTAAAATGCGAGTATAGATGGCCTTATCATCTCATATCATTTCGAACAGAATTTTGAACTTCACTAAGTTTTCTTCTCACTTTCTCGTAAAGTAGTGACCCAATCATCAAAATTGTTCGATCACTCTTCACAGTAATGCCAATAGGATCATCTCTAATCACTTGCAAAATTTCAGTTTTGAAATTTTGACTTAATCCTTCTTGTGATTTATCAGTAAGGATTTCAACCGGTACTGCACATTTTGAATGAGAAGAATCTTTTCCACATATGAGGAGAGTAATAAGATTTTGAATAAAAACCATGACACAACGAACACACTTTCGTTGACTCCGCTCTCTTTCGAAGAGAGGAACTTTTAAATCAATTTGTTTCAAATTAAAATTGCGAATACCATCTTTTTTAAAAGATTGAAACAGCCTGTTACGCTCTATTTTGGGTTTTTGCAAAGCAGTTTTAACTTTTTCGTTAGTTTTGTGTTTTTTTGCAATATGTCTTGAAAGCCTTCGAAATGATTTACCACAGATAAAACATAATCTTTTAAGTATTTTAATTGGACCCTTGAAAAAAACATAAAGTTTGATATCAGATTGTATTCATTTGTAAAACCATAATCAGTTCGCTAGCATTATTAAACTTACTTTTTTTACTTTATGAATATTTGTATTTACTTTCTCTTCGCTAATTAGTTCATTTTTTTCATTTAGGTTGGTGAAACATAAATTTTGGTCATTCAGTGTTGAAGACAAAAAGGTTTCAGAATTGTCTATTGAGTTCTATAGAAAAATTAGTAAAAGAGTTTTATCAAATAGAAAAAACATGTTTACAAATATGTTTAATAGTCAAATTAATATACCAAAAAAAATTTATTTAAATCTTTCAACAATAAAAATTTATTTTATTTTTTACCTGAGATTCCAATACACAATTACCGGTTCTGCTTATGTGACTTGACCCGGAACTTGTTAAAGTGTTGACAAAGCTCTAAATTAAAACAAAAATTTTTCAAGTTGATATGGTTAATATAAGGGTATTATATCAGGTATAAAATGGAATTGACTGTTAGTTATAACTAACAGTCAATTCCATTTTATACCTGAGCTTCTTCCGAAACACCATCAATAATACTATTCACTTCACATAATTCAGGGTATGAAGAACTATTAACCGTATTCTAAAATAACAAAAAAACTGTTTTTTTAGTAAGCTGAGAAACTCTTTGAACAATGCTTGAAAAAGAAGTCAATTTAATTTCGAACCTGAGACTCTTTCAATTCACCATTTATGACACTATTTAATACAATTAATACTTGACTCATTGAATTATTAATAACATTTTAAAGTAATGTAACTTTTTTTAAAGTTTCAGAAACTTGTGAAAAAATAAAAACTTATAGTGATCCCGAAATAACATTAATTCCCTAAAATGCTAATATAATTTTTAACCTGAGGTTCAGCCGATAAGTCATTAACAGTACTGCTAACAGTGGTTAATTCAATGTTTGCTGAACTATTGATAAAATCCTTAAATGAAAACAAAATTTAAATAGATCATGCTTTTAATTATTGGTACTTATAAAAAATAATTAAACAAAAAATACCTGAACAAAAGTGCTGACAACAAAGTCAACTGCATCACTCATTTCCGTTAAAAACAAATCTGAATTATTTGCATTACTGTCCTGCAAAAAAAAAATACTATATAAAAAAATATATATATATACTATATATATTATATAATTATATTGGAGGGAGTAAGTTTAGAAGCCTTTTTAAATTTTTAAAAAGAAATAAAAATACTTTTCAATATATATCTGTTTTCTTTGAGGTAGAATTAAAGTTTCAGTTTTTTAAAACTTTAAATTAACTTTACAATGTTAAAACGGTTTAAACGGATTTTTGTAAATGAATTTAATCCTCAAAGATTAAATTTTTTTTATTATTAAAGAAATTAAACTAGATTTAAGAATAAGTCGACTTAAATGTTTGTTTGTTTTTCTATTTAGATGATGACAATATTGAAGCAAGTAAGTTAAAAAGCATTTTTAAATTTTTAAAAAGAAATAAAAATACTTTTCAATATATATCTGTTTTCTTTGAGGTAGATTTAAAGTTTCAGTTTTTTAAAGTCATATATATTTTAAAATCTTATATATAACTCATATATCTTTGTTTTTCTATTTAGACGTTGGTAATAATATGAAACAAGTAAGTTATAAAGCATTTTTAAATTTTTAAAAAGAAATAAAAATACTTTTTATTATATATCTGTTTTCTTTGAGGTAGATTTAAAATTTCAGGTTTTTTAAATCATATATATTATAAGATTTACAAATGAGTCGACTTGAATGTTTGTTTGTTTTTCTATTTAGACGTTGGTGATAATATCGAAACAAGTAAGTTATAAAGCATTTTTAAATTTTTAAAAAGAAATAAAAATACTTTTCAATATATATCTGTTTTCTTCGAGGTAGATTTAAAATTTCAGGTTTTTAAAATCATATATATTATAATATTAAATTCTTTTTTACTTTAAAAATATCTATATTATAGTTACACTGAGTCGTAGAAAAAAAATTAAAGTTTATTAATAAGGTAGTAGATTATTAGAGTAGATTAAGTTATTTGATCTATTAATCAACTTAATAATGTACTATTAATATGAAAATTTATTTTGGTTGTTTGTTTGTTAAAATTTAGTTAGAGTTTATTTAAAATTTAAATTCTTTAGTTAATCAAGAGAGATCTAATAAAGGTATTAATTACATTAGTTGAATGTGGCATTTAATATGTATTTAATCGATATAAGGAATAAAATAATAAGGAATAGAAAAATTTTAAAAATTTGCTCTGGAATTTGTCAAAAGAGTGTTGTGTTATGCTTCATTTTAAGGTATCTAAATATATATTCATTAGAAATTTTTAATTTTGTTTTTAAATGGTTTATTATTTTTCACTACTTTAGATAAATATATACTGACTGACATAACTTCATTTTTATTAACAATGTCGTGCATTGTAGTCTGCATTCTTTGTTACATTAAAAATAATTGATGCTAATAAATGTTCTTTTATAGTTGTTAAAAGTTTGCATATATGTTTGCATTTATATTATGATCAAAGTTAAAATTTTTTTGATAAATACGTGTATGTGGTGATACTACTCAGGTATCACCGCAGCTTATCTCTATCAGGTACATTGATTTTTAATTCACATATGATGTTTTTCTTTGTATTTACTTATTCATTACATTTTTAACTTCAGATTTATGGTGTATTTATTTGCTATAAAAGAACAAATCATTTTGAATTTTTTAAAAATATCTACACCAATCAACATTTAAAATTCAATGTAGCATATACTAGTTTCTAGGCTTTTTTGATGCTTTTCTTATTCAAGTGGTTTCATAAGCAAGGTCTACAAGCAAATTTGAGATAAAAAGTTTTTCAGCTTTCAAGGAGTATAAATGTTGTTCTCTGTATACTTTAATTTGTTTAAATAGAGTAGTTTTAGTAAATAAATGTTTGTTTGTTCTTGGTTTTTTACTTATTTGTTATCAGATTCTTAAGAATTAGGCAACTTAGCAAGCAAGATTTATTTTATTTTTTAGTGCAATTGGAAAGAGCTAAAGTGCTTTTTAGTTACTTCAAATCATTTGTTTTTATTTTTTAAATAGAAGGGTTAATAATAAAAATATTTAGACAGTCGAACTGTTACTGATTTGAGTAAGTTTAATTTTTTGTTTAATTTTATATTAGATATATATTTTATGTATTTAACATGAAAAACTGACTGTAATTTTTGACAGGTAAGTTTATATACTTAAATGTGCCTATATATCGGAATATTTTATATTTCTCTGAATCTATATGAATATTATCTCAAAGAAAAAATTAAGAATAGAAAAAATTTGAATATATATACATACATATATATTACTTTAGACTGATATTGCTTCATTTTTTATACAAGATTCTGCATTTATTATTTTTGTGCATTAAGATTGTGCCTGAAGGCTTTCTTAATTTAGCAAAGGATTTAGAACACAATGCAAATAACTTTGCACTGTGTTCTAAATTCTTTGCTAAATTAAAATAATGTAAATAAATTTTGTTTTATATTTTTCAGTAGTAAAAATATAAAACGTTCATTTATTCAGTTGTAACAGTAGCATAAAAACTGGTAATATATATTTAATGATAACAGATTTATAATATTAGGCTCGAAGAAGTTATTAGTGTAAATGGTTATAGGTGACATGAAATTGTTGTCATATGAAAGAAATAGATCTAGGCATGATAAAATTAATTGTCGTTGAAATATAAGATATTTTGCTTGATGAACCAAAAACTTACTTGGCAGAATTCAGTGTCAAGCGCTGTTAATGTCTATTATTTGACTTTACATTAGACACTTTAAAATAAAGCAAAGTATGAATTTTACTATTTATAGTAACAAATAATAAAAATTTCAGTTTTAAATGATTTTTTTTTTTTTTTTTTTTTACTTTTGTAATCTTAATATAATTTTTCATTTTTTTTTTAGTTGTTTTTGTCATCACTTGATTATTTTGCTTACTGTTGAAACATGGTTTTAATTTTGTAAATTTAATATGATGTGAAATTTACAATATTAATCATTTGTCAACAGTTAAAGAGAAGCTGGAAATTAATTAAGAAATGCTGGAAATTAACTTTTAGTTAAGGTAAAAATAATTTTGTTTATTGGTAGCATAATAAAACCAGTTACTGTTATTTATTGCATGACTTTTTTACTTTTTCTAACATGGTGTTTTTAAAACACTTCCTCTCTCTCTTAGATGAGACTTAAATAAGAATTAGTATTGAGAATTGTAGAGAGAGAATTGATTGGGGGGTCGTATGGGTTGAATGGGCGGTCGTAACTAAAAACCTTTAAAAATATGGAGAATATTGTAGTTTTGCGCATTAATATCGAGTTACTTAAGTTTTATTTATGTGTTTAACTAATTAGTTAGTTTAGTCTGTATTTGCAACACTTTTGAGGAAAGAAAGAAAACATTTTTATATAAGTAGATCATTGTTTTACATTTTAATATTTTATTTTATTCACCAGGCCACCATTAAAGCAAAAAGAGGGAAGGAACCTCTTTATTAGAGCCAAAATATTTAGAAAAATTAAATTTCGAGTTACAAAAGGAATTTTTAGTAAATGGTGGCAAATTACCGTTTACTAAAAATTTAATGAAATAAAGAGGCCAAATAAATAATATACAAATGGTCTGTGTTGAACAGACTTAACAAGACCCGGGTCGGGTCAGCTTGGTTTACAAACTTTTATGTCTACTTATCTCTTATAATTTTAATTTTAGTTTGTTCTATGATGCATTAATGTATTAAAAAATTTGTTATACCTATGTTTGATCGTAAATTAAATTTTTTTTTGTTTGAAAGGTATTTGTACTCAGTTGCGTAGTATAATAAACTTTGTTATTTTTTATTAATTTATTTAAACGTGTGCATTTAACATTTTTAAGTTAACAATTTTCTTTTCTAAAGAACAATTAATCAAGGGGATAACAAAAAAATTGATAACTCCTGTATAATATAAGTTAACTTCATTTTAATCTTAATGGTTCGTGTTATAAAAATTATTTTAAGGATTTAGTTGACACTTTCGTCAATTTAAAGTATAACCAAGTGTTATTATTTTGCGTCAGTAACTAAAAACGTATTGTGTTAAACTTAGGAAGGTCGATGAAAATGGTTCTGCCTTACACTGTTATGGCCTGTGCCATTTGTAAATTACTTAATAATGTTAAGTAGTAGTTGGTAAATTATTTTACCTCCTCATAATTTTTATGTTAATTTTACAGATGGATTAATTTTTTCAAGCTGAAGGCAATTTTCTAAAAGGGTATTAGTTAAGGTTTTGCAAGATTAAATTGTGGAAAACAGCTACTATAAATTAATTATGTAACAGACCGACCAAAACCCGTATTACGGGTTGCCTTTTGCTAGTATATATTACTTACGGAATGTTAGAGGCTGGGTGTTAAAGTAATCATTTGTGTTATGATTATAAACAAAAAAAGTAATAGTAATAATTTCAGATACTAACAGAATTTTTTATACATTAAAAACATTACTTTAATACATTTTTAATAACTTAAAATATTAACTGAATAAATTTTTTTAGATGATTTTTGCAATATTTTAATTAAACGTTGCCATGGCTAGTGGTTCCTCCTCCCTCCCTCCCCCCAATAAAAATCCTGTTTTTAGGGCCCAAAAAATTCGAAAAATTTTCCACTAGATAAACCAAAGATTAAGGTCCGAAAATTTACAAAAGAACTCTCTAAAATTGCGCCCCCTTACCATTAGCGGAGTGAGGTAGCCTAGCTTGTGCTCTGCATTTAACGAAATTTAAAATTATAAAACTGATTATAGACAATAATTTAACTTAATTGTTGAAAAATAACCTTTTTAAAAGAAAAACTGGATTTATTGTCTTCAACTAAATCAACTACTTGAACTACTCGATCCTTGTTCTGTAATCAAATATGATTTAAGATTTTAAAAATGCTAAAAATTACTTCTATTTATATTTATACTTACTAAAAATTTCTAGTTAAATAAGTAATAGTAACTAAAAACAAAGTTTGAAATAGCTATAAAAACTATAT